ATAGTAATTTTTGGGATTGTCTGACTGAGTTCAATTAAATGCCGAATTTGCTCTTCTCGAGCTTTCCGATAGCTCGCCAAATGGAAGTGACTATATATACTATATGATACCGCCCTTTCCATTAGCCTCCGAAATTCCCACCCACTGAGTGCTCCTTCGTACCCATGTGTCGACAATTATATCTGCAAATTCTGCTCTAGAAAGATGTGAAATGTCACATTCACTATTGGTGATAAAAATCAAACGTTCATTACCTTCGGAGTACCCGAATTAGCAGTTGACTCGGCCCTTACCCGCATGCCAAAGTAACCGGATGTTATATTACTATATATATGCTATAAATTAACAGTATGTGTGACATATCTAGCGTAAAACATTTGCGATACCTATCTTTATCGACGGACTATAACCTCTCAAATAACCTACTAGTGCTCTGCCAAAATTTGTAGAAACAAACAACGTATAAAACCTTTGTGATTAAGAATGCAATATGAGATAACAAGTTATATTCATATTCTGTTAATTATTAACTTTGAGAATTTGAATGAAACTTAATTGTTCTATAATGTCATTAGATGTTCTGTGAACGAAATGGAGCTGAAATACTTCGTTCGCAGAGCATTCTATTCCCTGTACTTTTGAGATGTACAATGATGTTATGGCATATGGTGCCCAGACAATCACTTTCAGAAGTTGTTGGGACACATGTAGTTTTAGCTCGTAAGTGGATCATTATAGTTTTTTACACACAATACCGCTCCCCTCCCCCTCCCCCACCCCAATCAATGTTGTTCAAACCAAAACACATCAAACCCGACGAGAAATGGGACACAACATTGAACAGGGGGCGGGGGGGATTGTCGTTTGTTGAAATTCAAAGGTTTTGTGGCATCTGTCCCAAGACTTTTGAAACTGATTGTCTGAAAGGCAATGAAAAGCATATTTAACCTCTTTGAATTACCGAGTGTTTTAGAATATCAGTTTTGCGAAAATCGTATAGCATTTAGTATAACATATTTACTGAATTGCACTGGCATATATAATGCTTTTATACTGTGCTTGTTGTGGTCAATATATTTGAAATGTAACATAATCCAACAGACTGAACAGTATATTATAAATGAGCTTATAAACAGATGTGATATGTGGGGAGGGACGTATGCTGAGAGATTAAACCTGCTCTATATGCAAGGGATAAAACACATCTATCTGGTTAATTATCGACCTAGGTTATTGCTGAATAAAATGCAAGGGTAAGTTATCGAAAACCACTTAGAGATTGTGCATATTTGACATGAAAATATGTATGTAATATAAAACGGTTTGAACACGTGCTCGATTGTCACTCGGTTGTCACTTTGAAACACATAGCATTTTCAATGATATAACTTTCAATTATCGCGGGATTATAATTTTCAGAATATTAAGTACAAAGCAAAAGTGTTTAGGTAGCGCGTATTGATATATCACGGGTTCTACTTAATCACAAAGTATATAAATTGTATAAAATGTATCGATTGACACTCAACTCTAGAAATATCACTATGATATATCAGATTTATTTATGTAGAAAAGTGTCAACCGATCCAAAACTTGGCTTAATCAATTTCAAACCCTTTCATTAATAGCAAATACATTGTTAGACATTCTCAACAAATTATTCTTAGGTTTGTTCTGATTTAAAAGCTGCCTAGTTGCCCATTATTTCATATTTCTATAGTGACAATCGAAGTGACAACCGATGTTAGTTTCATTGCATTCGTCTGGACCGGAAACGCTTATTAGCATAATTAGCGTATAACACTAACTTTGTGTTGTATAATGCGTACAACGCCGTATACAGCGAGTCCCTTTCGTTACATATTTTTGGAAGCCTGTGCAACTTTCTTGCTTCGGCGGGTCGCGCGCGCTAGTACTTGCTAACGCGTCAGCATTAGGGAGGTCTATAAGCCCTGGAGAAATCACGAAGTCCGGGTCATTCTTTACCACGTACGAATACGCTGAATAGTAATTTTTGGGATTGTCTGACTGAGTTCAATTAAATGCCGAATTTGCTCTTCTCGAGCTTTCCGATAGCTCGCCAAATGGAAGTGACTATATATACTATATGATACCGCCCTTTCCATTAGCCTCCGAAATTCCCACCCACTGAGTGCTCCTTCGTACCCATGTGTCGACTATTATAGCTGCAAATTCTGCTCTAGAAAGATGTGAAATGTCACATTCACTATTGGTGATAAAAATCAAACGTTCATTACCTTCGGAGTACCCGAATTAGCAGTTGACTCGGCCCTTACCCGCATGCCAAAGTAACCGGATGTTATATTACTACGGTATATATATGCTATAAATTAATAGTATGTGTGACATATCTAGCGTAAAACATTTGCGATACCTATATTTATCGACGGACTATAACCTCTCAAATAACCTACTAGTGCTCTGCCAAAATTTGTAGAAACAAACAACGTATAAAACCTTTGTGATTAAGAATGCAATATGAGATAACAAGTTATATTCATATTCTGTTAATTATTAACTTTGAGAATTTGAATGAAACTTAATTGTTCTATAATGTCATTAGATGTTCTGTGAACGAAATGGAGCTGAAATACTTCGTTCGCAGAGCATTCTATTCCCTGTACTTTTGAGATGTACAATGATGTTATGGCATATGGGGCCCAGACAATCACTTTCAGAAGTTGTTGGGACACATGTAGTTTTAGCTTGTAAGTGGATCATTATAGTTTTTTACACACACTACCGCTCCCCTCCCCCTCCCCCCACCCCAATCAATGTTGTTTAAACCAAAACACATCAAACCCGACGAGAAATGGGACACAACATTGAACAGGGGGCGGGGGGGATTGTCCTTTGTTGAAATTCAAAAGGTTTTGTGGCATCTGTCCCAAGACTTTTGAAACTGATTGTCTGAAAGGCAATGAAAAGCATATTTAACCTCTTTGAATTACCGAGTGTTTTAGAATATCAGTTTTGCGAAAATCGTATAGCATTTAGTATAACATATTTACTGAATTGCACTGGCGTATATAATGCTTTTATACTGTGCTTGTTGTGGTCAATATATTTGAAATGTAACATAATCCAACAGACTGAACAGTATATTATAAATGAGCTTATAAACAGATGTGATATGTGGGGAGGGACGTATGCTGAGAGATTAAACCTGCTCTATATGCAAGGGATAAAACACATCTATCTGGTTAATTATCGACCTAGGTTATTGCTGAATAAAATGCAAGGGTAAGTTATCGAAAACCACTTAGAGATTGTGCATATTTGACATGAAAATATGTATGTAATATAAAACGGTTTGAACACGTGCTCGATTGTCACTCGGTTGTCACTTTGAAACACATAGCATTTTCAATGATATAACTTTCAATTATCGCGGGATTATAATTTTCAGAATATTAAGTACAAAGCAAAAGTGTTTAGGTAGCGCGTATTGATATATCACGGGTTCTACTTAATCACAAAGTATATAAATTGTATAAAATGTATCGATTGACACTCAACTCTAGAAATATCACTATGATATATCAGATTTATTTATGTAGAAAAGTGTCAATCGATCCAAAACTTGGCTTAATCAATTTCAAACCCTTTCATTAATAGCAAATACATTGTTAGACATTCTCAACAAATTATTCTTAGCTTTGTTCTGATTTAAAAGCTGCCTAGTTGCCCATTATTTCATATTTCTATAGTGACAATCGAAGTGACAACCGATGTTAGTTTCATTGCATTCGTCTGGACCGGAAACGCTTATTAGCATAATTAGCGTATAACACTATAAACTTTGTGTTGTATAATGCGTACAACGCCGTATACAGCGAGTCCCTTTCGTTACATATTTTTGGAAGCCTGTGCAACTTTCTTGCTTCGGCGGGTCGCGCGCGCTTCTACTTGCTAACGCGTCAGCATTAGGGAGGTCTATAAGCCCTGGAGAAATCACGAAGTCTGGGTCATTCTTTACCACGTACGAATACGCTGAATAGTAATTTTTGGGATTGTCTGACTGCGTTCAATTAAATGCCGAATTTGCTCTTCTCGAGCTTTCCGATAGCTCGCCAAATGGAAGTGACTATATATACTATATGATACCGCCCTTTCCATTAGCCTCCGAAATTCCCACCCACTGAGTGCTCCTTCGTACCCATGTTTCGACAATTATATCTGCAAATTCTGCTCTAGAAAGATGTGAAATGTCACATTCACCATTGGTGATAAAATTCAAACGTTCATTACCTTCGGTGTACCCGAATTAGCAGTTGACTCGGCCCTTACCCGCATGCCAAAGTAATCGGATGTTATATTACTATATATATGCTATAAATTAACAGTATGTGTGACATATCTAGCGTAAAACATTTGCGATACCTATCTTTATCGACGGACTATAACCTCTCAAATAACCTACTAGTGCTCTGCCAAAATTTGTAGAAACAAACAACGTATAAAACCTTTGTGATTAAGAATGCAATATGAGATAACAAGTTATATTCATATTCTGTTAATTATTAACTTTGAGAATTTGAATGAAACTTAATCGTTCTATAATGTCATTAGATGTTCTGTGAACGAAATCGAGCTGAAATACTTCGTTCGCAGAGCATTCTATTCCCTGTACTTTTGAGATGTACAATGATGTTATGGCATATGGGGCCCAGACAATCACTTTCAGAAGTTGTTGGGACACATGTAGTTTTAGCTCGTAAGTGGATCATTATAGCTTTTTACACACAATACCGCTCCCCTCCCCCTCCCCCACCCCAATCAATGTTGTTTAAACCAAAACACATCAAACCCGACGAGAAATGGGACACAACATTGAACAGGGGACGGGGGGGGATTGTCGTTTGTTGAAATTCAAAGGTTTTGTGGCATCTGTCCCAAGACTTTTGAAACTGATTGTTGTAGGCTATGTGTTTGTGAGTACTTTATACTGACATGTTTTCCATGCAAAAAATCATTTTTGCACTTACCACATGGATCCTGCGCCTCAGATTTCACATTTGTTTGAATTTCATCTACTATTGAGGCAAGCTGATCAACGGTTCAGCCAACGAGCGAGCAGTCTCGCTGTTTATCACCTGTTCAGTTTCAAAGTTTTCCATGTGCTCTCTGCTATCAATTTGAACACTTGACTGCGCTTGTGCCGCTGAAGTAGGAAGGTCATGAAGCATGATTTTGCCGTGGTTTATAGATATATTATCATCAACAAAATTCTCAGTATTTGTAGCCCTCTCTATGCTAGTATTCACGCCTGCAAAGTCACTGCTCGTACACATAACTTTGATCAGTCGACCACAAATTTCTTTCGTGTCCTTTCCATTAACTGCAAGGAACTTCTTGTTTTTTATCCAGAGAATCGTAAGACCCTCCGACTCAAAACGTTTCTTTTCACCGGCTGGCGATGACCACGTTCCCTGTTGGATAAGATTGTCCCTTACGAATTCTTTCAAGCTTTCTTTCATGATCACCAATCCAAGACAATCTTAGATTTCCCGACATGTTTCCCCTCAAATCGCAATATACATACAAATACTCACATACAGTTCTGCTGTTCTGTTCTCCAGCAATTTAAGGCTCCAACCCGCCGGAACGCAACTCACAAGAACTCTAGCAATTAAATATGCAGTGAGATATCAAATACTTGTGATTTGTAACATACATTTAAGTTGGAGTAACGGAGCACAAAATACACGTCCGTACACTATGGAGGGCTGGTACACGTCCGTACACCATAGTGGCTACTATAAAATTATGCCAGAGGTTCTAATAATTTTTTTGCTACTTTAGCTGTACAATTATTCCAGGCCAAACATTCATCAATAATTATACCAAGAAAGTTACAAATAGTTTTGAAACCATAGTTGAGCTACTCCCCATATACCATAGTGTTCTAGTTTTTGTATCAAAATCCTGTGATTAATTGTATCAAATGCCTTTGATAAGTCCAGAAATATATCAATTATGAATTCTCCATTATCTATTGCGTTAGTAAGTTTGTTGGTAAATTCAATTATTGCAAGTTCGGTGGATCAATTCTCTCTGAAAACATATTGATGGTGCGTCAACATTCTATTTTTTTTCGATAAATTTGATTAATATCTTATACATGAGTTTTTCTAATAATTTTCTAAAACAAGTGAGAACAAATATGGGTCGACAATTTTTAAATTCCTTGTTTTCGCTTGCTTTGAAAACCAACAGACAATATTATCAGTCTATTTGTTGATTGCACATAGCAGAACGACAGTCACTTCAGATATTTTTAAAGTACAGAAAATATAATTAAGAGCGTATATAAACTGACCCATCATTAGTAATAGTTGTACCACAGTCCAAGAATGTAATAAGTGGACAGTTGGCAAAATTGTTGTCTACCAGTTACAATAAGAACCATTCATAAAATGCTTAGCAGTATCAAACAAGCTAAGTGAAAGTTGGCCGCGGTATTCCCATGCTATGCATACGAAGTATTGTACATTATATCAATATATGCTCGAGAATAGTTATCCAGCAAAACATGTATGTCAAAATTATCACATCTTCTGGTTTTAAATCAACAATTTTGACGGATTTTGTGCAAGGACAGCTTTGGGTTCCGTTTCGCTTTGGCCGATGCTTGAAATTTCCCGGAAATACACTTATTTACCGGAAGTTGTCGTCTCCTCCGCAGGCTCTTCAACAACGCGCGCGGCTCGACACAAAATGGAAAAAAAGTAGGAGCCGAATTTATGACCTCGGTGTCACACCGACCCGAGGTAATTAATAACGCAGAACACGAATGACAGGGATGATAGAGTGCTTATATAAGAATTTCTTGTCTTGGCGGTTGGGATCCTGGAAACAAATAATGGGGTCTCGCCTACAATCAGGAGCAAAAATAATGAGACTTTTCACGTTTTTGGCCATTTTCAAGTGCGTCGGCCTCCCCCCTCCCCCCATGATCAATGTTGGAAGAAACGGGTTGAATTTTCTCTTTTCAGTCATCCACACAACATTGAATTGGGGGTGAGGGGGGCATTTATGCGTTTGTCTCAATAATTTTTGCTCCTCATTGTAGGCCAGATAGAGGTTGAATCGTTCATTTTACTTTAAACACTCGATAAATTTCATATTGCAAGGAGGATCATAATACTAATATTCGTTTTACAAGTGTTGACATCTTGTATTGTCATTGCCAGCATACAGTACCTATTACAGTCAACTTACACATAAGGGAAAGCTGCTTAAAATTACTACATATATGTTCGGAGAAAGTGTTTGTTCTTACTTTTTACGTAAATTACTCTAACGTTAGTATCTATAATGACTTCAGGTTAAGAAACTTCGCTAAGTCATTGAAATAATATAATATAGAAATGGATGTACTTCAGAAAAAATCACCTCAAACGATGTTGAATTGATTTAAAATACAATTTATTATTCAGCAGTTTTGTCACTAAAACGAATTAAAATAGATTAACGACTTCTTACCGTAGAGATATACAATGCCAGTTGCTTTACAAACAATTTGGAGAAGATCGTCAAAGGTATCGTTAATTTATTTTTTAGATTCAGAAATCTATTTGAATTTATTCCAATTTATATTAATTTGCCCTATATTCTTCGAAAACTATATGTTAAAATATAAATACTGCATGGTAAGGACTTTTATTATCATAAAAAATAGCTTAAACGGCAGTTTAAGCATGATTTCTAGACTCATTTTAGTCATATATTTTTTGTAAAATAATTCGATCCCTCGGTTTCAGAAGCTTCCCTGAACCGTTTCGGTCACGGGTAGCTTCTGAGACCACGGGAAAATTATTTTCAATACGGACCTCCCCAGCTGGTAAATAAAATATTTGTTGACGTTTGATAATGGTTATAATGCATGGTTATAATGGTTATACTAGAAATACATGCATGCAGCAACCCCTCGCCAGTATTTCCCAAACATTGGTTTAACATGAAGAATTAGTAATTGTTCTACACTGAACTCTGGCTCGCGTTTACGTCAGTGTTGCCGGCCCATGGCAACACGATAATTTTAATTTTTTATTATATTTTTTGTACAACACGCCAGAAATAGTTGAATGATTACTGCCTTTAACAATCAATTTCCGAAATAGGTACTGCAGGTATATTAGGGCCATTTATACGGGACAAAATAAGACGCGACTTACATAAGACGCGACTTAAATAAGACGCGAGGTTGTCGTATAAAAGGTACAAAATTCTTATGTAAGACTCGTCTTGGATAAGACGCGTCTTACATAAGAACAGGACTTTTAGCTGTTCTTATTTAAGTCACGTCTTAAATAAGAAATTTTAGACAAAAATTCTAACTACACATGCCCGAAACTTGAAACAACGTAAAATTATTAGCTTTGCTTATTCGAACAAAAACAACCGAAACAACATTATAGCTATAGCAAGTAAATAAGAATAAATCCGTAGAGAACCATTTATGCGATAACTCAGCTTATATAAGACTTATTTTGTCCCGTATAAACGGCCCTATTGTTTTGCAGTATGTGAGCTTTGATTTAATGTAAAATTTAAACTTTCCCCGGGTGTAAATAGCTGGGCGGAATTAGTACCTTCGCCCGGGGCTAACGCCTGGAACGGCGTTCCGCGCAGTTGGCTCGGGGATAATGAAATTCCAATAAAACAGCAGTGTTGAATGCGAAGTACATCTGAGATCAGTTGTATTTGCCACTTTACTCCATGCAAGCATGACCGACAAAGTGACTGCTGAAAACTACGCGATAAAAAATGAACAAAAAGCCTGCCTTTAGTTACAATGCAATAGAAGCTTTTCTACTCAGAAAGACAATACAGAAGGTAAACTTTTATTATTATTTTTCTGATTGTTTTACAGTTTGTACATTGCTTGACAAAATGCTTTTTGACATACAACTATAAAATTTAGTTGCCGAAAACATTTTGTTTATTACAACATTTAAAAAAAATGCTCGCCCGAATTACGCCCATGCATGCATGCAGGAATCATGTTAAAACTGCCGTTCAAGCTGCTATCTTTTTAATTTGTTCTATGTTTATGGACAAGTTGTATATGTTCTAGTATTTTTGTATAATCGTTAGACTTGTCAAAAGTCGGCATCGAACGGAACGCGAGCAGCGAGCGCGACCGACGAAACTTGCACGTGGCAAGTGTATATATAATCGTATATATTTTTCGCCCAATAGCCTGAATATACGTCTGGAGCATTTGAATGAAAATTGTTTTTTCACCTTTAGTATAGACAGAGCAGATTTTTCATTCCTTTTGTAGTACTTTGAGTTTGAAAATTTTCGGCTTCATTCATCGGTTTGTCGGTAAATTTTAAAAAAACTCCTTTGGACCACACGGCCATGATAGAGGGGCTTCGGTGGCGAAGTGGTTAGCGCACTTGCCTTTCACCTCTAAGGCCGCAGGTTCGAATCTCAGTGAGAGCTTCTCAATGTGACTCGAACCCAGTCCTCATGTGAAAAGAGTAAAAGTCAACGCTCTGGGTTTTCTCCGGGTACTCCGTGTTTCCTCCCACAGGGAAAGTTGACAGGGTGGGTTAGGCACATAGGATAGGTCTGGAGGCAGATCATTAATGAAGTATGGACTAATAGCGGCAGCTGCTCAAGCGCCATTTGTAAGCTCAAAGTCTACCTCGGTCTGCTTCACGTCAGTCCGGTTCTATCTATCTAACCATAATGTAACCAGTCACTGAAAAGCCCTGATAGGGAGTGTGCTGTGAAATATCTGTATCTGTATGATATCCCAAAGAACTGCCCAATAAGATTGCAGGCGAAAATATCACCATAGGCATGCATAAATAACTAAATTTAAGTTATTTTTTTCAGCACCTACAAAAAAAGTTCTGTACTGCCACCAAACTGATAAAGAAAGGATGCTACAAAGATACTGGTTTCAATACAACAGCAAACAGGCCTTTATCAATCTTGCTTGCAAAATATCCTGCAAATAAAGTTGACTGGAATAATGGCTGGGATGATTTTTTACATAGTGTGACCTGCTAGTAAGTTTATCTCATTGTTTTATTGGTCAATAATAAGGTAAAATTTCATTGTCTTATTTTTCTTACAGTTCAAGGATAAAATAATATTGTCGTACTTGATACATTCTCAGTTAACTTCGATTTTGATTTCCCAATTTAACCATTTCCCAATTAACCCAACAAACTGGGGGCTGCCGCCCGCCCCCCATACCAGTACGCCTATGGCGAGATATTCGAGAGAATTTTTTTCTTATTTTAAGAATAACATTTTTCCATCCTAGAATAATATTCTTATAATTAGAAAAACAATCTTGAAATAAAGTTTAATATTATTTATCGCATATATCAAAACCTTTCTTTTGGCAACTTTTGCATGGCTGAAACGAGATATGATATTGAATTAAATAAACCTAATTGTAATATTGTATATCTTTCACTTTTTTGTCAAATTTGAAGCTGAACGGCTCTGTCCTGAATTGTCGCAGTTTCAACATGGCGGATATCACAATGAATTTGAATATGCCCAATGAATTGCTGCTATTGAAAAATAACAATTATATATGAATTCAAATCATTTGCAACAATCGTCTATCTACGCTTTAATGAAGATGGTATGATCCACCGCAAAAAATGAAGTGTAAATTTACCCAAGATTTTGCGTAAATATCACCGACATGTTATGACATCACGGTTAATGCTGTCAAATGTTATGACATGCGATACGTTAAACGATAAAAATTTTATATTATTGCAATTGGCATATAATTTTTTTTAGAAAATATGTCTCATTATTCGCTTATAAGAATTTTCATCATTTTTTTATAATCATTTTTTTGGCCAGATTATAAATGCTTCCTATAGTTTCAAGCTAGCGATAGATTGGGAGCGCTTTTTGGTGTATGTATTTTAGAAGACAAGGGCCACGCGCGCAATGAGTTGTGGGATATCCTATATCAAGTATCAAGTGTGATTTACAAATTTTCGACTTTTTCGTTTGAGCATATTTCGCTCAAGAATATCGTGTTTTTTATCATATTTGGTTCTGGATAAGTGACTCCGAATCCTGCCGAAGGCTTATTGATCTCAGGTATGAAATATTACTGTTTATATCATATAATTATAACTTACATCGACCGTATTTACTCATTTTATCTTGTGGCTGTTTAGCCTGTTGTGGCTGTCTGCTATTGCTAAATTTGAATTTGCGCGCGAGAGGTTTTATATATTGAATTATTTCATTTCAATTCCGTCAAATATTAGTTAAAATCAACAATTCAAATTTTGAATAAACACATAGTAAATACTGGGTTACACTTGCCACTTGGTTGACAAAACTGGAGAAAGCATGTTTGAACCCACATAGTATATTATAAACCCCGTGGATATTCGTCCGACACCGGATCTTCCTGCTTCACGGCTATTCATCCGACAACGCTTTAAAAGCTAACAATAAACCACTAAAAGGGTTGCGTTGTTTCTTAAGAACGAAGCAACAACATATTCGATACGCTATACGTTTCGTACGCGGTGCGTAAGCGAAAATCACGAAGGAAAAAAAAGTATAAAAAAAAATAATAAAATAGTGGCGCGAGCAGGAATCGATCCCAGAACTTGGCGTCCAATTGCCTCTGTGGAGGAGAGAGGTGCCAAACCACTACACTACGAAGGATTCGCTTGAAATTCAATTAAATTTACGCTGTTTTATTTTTAACGACTTTAACGATATGGAAATGTCGGACGAATATCCACTTTCTATTATAAAACAATATGTGAATATGAATAATATTTACTTGCTGATTGCTTCAAGCCTATTATTAGCCAAAACATGAAAATTATTTGAGAGTATTACACTTACAATTACAATGTTATCTATCTGAATCATAAAATTGTTAACTCAATATATAGAATTGATTATAATATTAGCTTATCAGTTCAGTGCATATTTCTTGGTTTATAGCATGTAAATGGTTGACTTTAAATTAATATTTAACCCATTGGCATTGAGCTGGAATGTGCCCCAGTGCGCCCTACTTTTTTTCACCTGTCTAACGCCAGTGTCTTCACTCATGTCTAACCCTGCATATATGTGTGTGATATATTGTGCCTGTTTATGTGATAATGGCATGGCTGGACAGGAGGTTTTAATCCAGGATGGTGTGTTTAATATATAGACGGAATACACCCCGCCTCTCCGCCTGGCAGGGATGATAGAGTGCTTGTATAAGAATTTCTCGTCCTGGCAGATGCAATCCCGGCAACAAATAATGGGATCCTGCCTAGGCCAGAAAGAAGTAGAATAATTCACTTTACCGTAAACAGTCGATAGAGTTCATATTGCAAGCTAGATGAGATGGGGTGTTAACAGGATATTACACTAGGCCGTACATTGCATAAGCTGCATTGTGCCACAACTTTATTGTTTTACTCCGTATAATGTCAGATGATTTTACCTGTCAGTGCCATCACTCAACGGGTTACTGAAACAAGTAGCACTTATCTCACATACAACTGAGGTTAAATCATAACCATATGAATGTTTTCTGGAATATGAGGCAATAGCATATTAAATCACAAATACCAACACCATCGCCGTTACATTTTATACCAATCTAATGGATTTTGCTGCAAAAATTCTTTCTCATGTTATAAACTTTATCCTACATAATAGAATGATTACAAATAAATTACTTATTTCCTTTCATGGGAAAATTTGAGTCATTATGGTCAATTTGAGTCGAGAAATCATGGTCCCACAGTCAAAATGTCAAATTTTAACCAATGAAGTTGCATCGCACCCTTTATTGTATTCCTGTCTAATGCCAGACAATTTTATTTGTGAGTGGGAGAGTGATGGTGGTTAATTGGTTAAGGATGCCAAGTTATATCATTATGCTTTCAATAAGTAACACAGTTGTAATTTAACACTTGCCCGGGGCAAGTGAATATCATTGTCACACAAAGCTGGGCATCAAGTTTATGTTTTCATTGCCAGATAAATTTTTTTATGCAGTGCAAGTTGTACTTGTGCATGGATTCAAATTTTGTTTTTCTGTAGGCCACAGCCAGGTCTGAAGCAGTATAAGATAGCCATCTAGAGCAGTGGAAGAATGTGTCGACATGTTGTCCCCTTAATTTATAGCCCCTACCTGGGTACCCCAGTGGCCATTGTCTCATGGCAAGTGAATTTTATTCACGGCAACTAATTTTCATATCCAACTTGGCAAGTTGAACTTGCCCTGATGACAAATGGTCAAAAAAGTAAAGTTATACCACTGACTACTGAGTAAGGTACATATATGAGCTACAGTATCATGGTTATAAAAACTCTGGAATAAGGTATGCGGTTATTTTCAAAAAATTTACATTATCACTCATCAATATGTCTGCAGGTTGTTGAAGAAGATCGGAGGAGCCTCAATCAATCCAAAGAAGCAGAAGAAAGTGCATACATGAGGAATTGTGAAAAGCAGCAGCTGATTGACCAATTGGACCCACTTATTTACTATCATGGCATTTCAAAAGGAGTTATGAAGCCACTACATGAACAGTGATCTGGTAATTAAATGATATCATTTTGTTTTTTTATTAATTAGAGTACCGGTACCAACATCGGATTCATTAGCACCAGGGGTGGAAAAAGTATAGGACCACGGGACCATTGGTCCCAGAAAATTTTTTGAGTTCCCAGAAAATATTTTCCCAAGAAAGAAAAATTGTAATAATTCAAATAAAAAGAGAAATTCAGAGGAAAATTCACACCATGACCTCAGAAATGCAATTATAAGTGTAACCATCTTAATAGTGCGATAGTGTATAAATGTATTAGACTATAGAACGATGTAAAAAATGTTGTATGGCAAATGCATTTTTAGTTGATCCGGGACAAACTTTTTGGGGGGAGCATGCATGATCTCCCTGATAGTGTCCCCTAAAAGTGCCCTAGCTTTTTTGGTATCTGTATTTACCCTTAGGATCAGACCCTTGATGCATGTCAGTTTTATGTTATATTTTAAGATTCTTAGTGAAATATTATTTCCAGTGAAATATTTTTTCCTGTGAAATATAGCATGACATCCAGTTTGACAACTTGTTAGTGTCACACAATTACAGTGTCCAAATGTCCATTTACTTGACTATTTACAGAAAATGTTCAATGTTCTCTTGCGGTCCCAGAAAGTAAAATTATATTTTTTCCACCCCTGATTAGCACCGACATTAGGTGTCGTTAATAGAAAATAATAAATGAAAATTGCATTTTGGTTTATGCTGTACCGGTAACTAATAAATGATATGAAAAATCAAAATTGCATTTTTAGCTCTCAAAATATCACAATGCTTTTATTAAAAATGTACCGGTAACTTAATTAATATTATTTTTTATGTATGTAATTCTACAGAAAGTACTTCACCTAATGAAGAACATTTAATTCACTCTTCAAATCAAAAAGTCAACCTGCTAAGAGCAAACTGGACATCATAAACTTTGTTGAGGTGAGGTTATAGTTTCATTTTATAAAATTCATTTAGTAAGGCCTGAATCAAATTTAGTGTACACTGTACACAGTGGCGCCGTGGCCGGGGGGGCCAGGGGGGGCCCTATTGTTGAGACCCGTCGGAAAATTGTCAATGTTGTCGGAAATTGTCGGAAAATTGTCAATGTTGTCGGAAATTTTCAAAGTTGTCGACCGGGAGGGGGTGAAGATTTAAAATGTTGTCGTCCGGAAAAATTTTTGGTCTGTCGGAAAAAATTTTCGGTTTGTCGGAAAAGTACTGCCCTCGGCCCCCCCAAAAACATGGGTCCCACGGCGCCCCTGACTGTACATATACATCTTCTTAGTTTTGAGCTTTCCTATAGTTGAGATAAAGTTAATATGGGCTAACAAAAACTATCTGCCAGTGTCTCTTGTTCCATCCATCATAGTATTTCGCTCTGTCTATAACCCCAGGGGATAGCTTGTTCAGGGGTGGAAAAAGTATCGGACCACGGGACCATTGGTCCCAGAAATTTTTTTGAGTTCCCAGAAAATATTTCCCCAAGAAAGAAAAAATTGTAATAATTCAGATAAAAGGAGAAATTCAGAGGAAAATTAACACCATGACCTCAGAAATGCAATTATAAGTGCAACCATCTTAATAGTGCGATAGTTTTGCGATAGTGTATAAATGTATTAGACTATAGAATGATGTAACAATTGTTGTATGGCAAATGCATTTTTAGCCAATCTGGGACACTTGATTTCAAAATTTTCTGGGAGCTAGAGCATGGATCCACCTGATAGTGCCCCCCAGTGCCAATTTTGCATCTGTATTTACTTTAGGATCAGACCCTTGATGCATGTTATCTATATTAGCTTTATGTTATATTTTAAGATTCTCAGTGCACTGAAATATTTTTTTTCTGTAAATATACATGTAGCATGACATCCAGTTTGACAACTTATTAGGTGTCACACAGTTACATTGGCCGAGTGTCGATTTACTTAATCATTTGCCGAAAATTTTTCAATGAACTTTTTGCGGTCCCAGAAAGTAAAATATTTTTCCCACCCCTGAGCTTGTTAGTGAAAACATAAGCTGTTAATTAATGAGGGTTGTGTAGTTGTTACCAAAACTATTTTTGTGTTGTTTTTTTCCTCAAAAGGAAGGAGACACAGACTTGACTACCTGGCTGCAAATGAGACCCAATGACACACTGTATCAGGGCTGATCATGACATGGAGCTATTGGCAACATTCGAGAATAGCGAAACTGTAAAAGCCATCTTTACTTCCTGGCGTTGTTCTACTGTAACTGCTCGACTTAGACTACCCATCCAGACTCAGCAGTCTGACATGGTAAAGGCTTTTCAAGAAATTGAACAATATTGCTACGTGTGAGAACTTTTACATTTATCTATCAGTAATTACTTTAATAACCTATTCATGTATAGCTGGTAAATATATTATTTTAAACATTCTTAATTGTTTTTATATTGTAGGATGACAACAGACAAAAGCCATGCACACCGGATCAAACTAGAATAATTTTCTTAGCAGGATTTAAATTCAAGATAATTTTTCTAATTTTGTCCCATGGGTAAGTAAAATTTTCTTATTAAGATTATTTTTCTTATTTCAAGAAAACGTTCTAGCAAAATTTTCTTATTACTAGAAAATAATTCTTGGGAAACTAAGAATTTTTTTCTAGAAATAAGAAAATTTTGCTAGAACGTTTTCTTGAAATAAGAAAAATATTCTTGATAAGAAAATTTTACTTACCCACGGGACAAAATTAGAAAAATTTTCTTACCAAGTATTTTGTTCTAACCAAGATTAATTTTCTTATTTTAAGAAAAATTTTCTTGAAATCTGATTCTTACCTAGAATATTTTACTTACCCACGGGACAAGTAAAATTTTCTTAAAACAAGTAATTTTGTGCTTAAAATAAGTAATATTTTCTTAAAACAAGAAATTGATTTTTTGCAGTGTAATATATTAGTAATAGCTGTTTTTCGAAATTTGATTGCAATTTCGAATCTGTTCAGTTTTTTTTTGTACACCCTGTATATAGTCTTGGTGTAATTTTGGTGTAATATAGTAGAGACCAAAGAACAATATATTGTATATGTTGCAAAAATGACTACAAAATATTTAAATGACTACAAAATATTTAAAATATCGGCATTTGTTATTTTTCATTGACCATTTTATGTAACACATTAATTTATGTTTGTGGTGTTACAC